AGATTTCTGAGTTTTAAGCCAGCCAGGCACCAGGTCAGGCAGAGCTACGCAGTGAAACCCCATCTCAAAAAATTAATTAATTGGTATTTGATTAGGTCAGAATGATAAAATTAAGAATTAATTGTGGGGGCCTGAAGAGATGGCTCAATGGTTAAGAGCACTGGATGCTCTTGCAGAGGACCTAGGTTCAATTCCCAGCACCCACATGGCAGCTTACAAGCATCTACAACTCCAGTCCCAGGGGATCCAACACCCTCGTCTGACTTCTGTGGGCGTTATACAACATGGGTGCACTTAAACACATACAGGAAATACATTCATATACATAAAATAAATCTAAAATATTTTTTTAAAAGAATTGTGGAAGTTGGACATGATGGTACATATCCGTAATTCCAGCACTGGGTGGTAGAGGCAGAAGGATGGTTATGTTTGAGACTGGCCTGATTTACATAGTGGGTACCAGTAAAGTCAGAGATACATACACAGTAACACCCTGAGATGAAAAGAAGAAAGAGGACAAGGAAAGAATTGATAGTGGTGGGAATGATAGCTGAGTTAAAACTTAAACAAAAAAATAACTATAACCTAGACAGAGGAGAGAAGATGATTGCTCAAGACAGAAATAATGTTAGGAATAAATGAGTTATCATAGGAGCACAGAACACATGAAATAGAATAAAACCATTGTGGCTAGAACAGAGAGCAGGGAATCCTGGAGAAAAATGTAGCATATGAGATTATATAGGCTGTTGGAAATTTAGGAGAGAAGTAAAAGATGGTTTTGTCATTATCTGGGATTTAAAGTCTTTTAAGTATTTTTTTGTTTTTGGTCTTTTTGAGACAGGGTCTCCCTGTAGCGCTAGCTGTCCTGGAACTCACTATGTAGACCAGGCTGGCCTTGAACCCACAGAGATTCACCTGCCTCTGCCTCCTGAGTACTTTTTAAAATTCTCTCTCTCTCTCTCTCTCTCTCTCTCTCTCTCTCTCTCTGTGTGTGTGTGTGTGTGTGTGTGTTTTAGGGAGAGGTGGGTATATTTTATATCCTAAGGATAAGAAAAAAAATCACCAGATTTTTAAAAACATTGTTTAGTTTGTAATGTGAAGGAAATAGAGGAAAATAATGGATAGTCAGAAAGCCATTAGTATTCACGAAAATAATATTCTCTTGGATAAAAGGGATTGTGATGATCAAAGATGGCCATATTCGAGAGGCCCGTAGCAGATGACACTTGCAGCTCCTGGTGAAGATCATGAAGAAGAGGGCTAGAGTTGGGATTTTTTTTAAGCTTTTAGATGTTGAAGTAGTTAAATGATGGCACCAACAATGCCAATGAGAATCAAAATTACAGAAGAGACTCTACTGTAGAATTAATGAAGAAACTCAGAGAGATAGATAATTAGTGATAGAAGTCACCAAATAGGTAAGTTTTAAGAGGCTGAGATAATTGGAACATCAACCAGTATATCCTAGTTGGGGAACCCTAAGGGACCACAGCAGCATTACATGAGCTGACACAATAAAAGGGTGTTTTCATGGAGTTTAGGAACACCTGACATTCCTATGATCCCTTAGGGAGTTGCAAAATCAAAACTGTCTTCATATTGGCCGTGAGACCATTTGCAAACTGTGCAGCAGAGCTTCTCTTACTCTTGTGATGTGTATTAAGCCAAGAGACTGGAGCAGAAGCAAATACAAAACACCTGGCTGCCTTCTATTAAAATGTCATTAAGAAAGTTGCAAAAGCTCAAAACTCACAAATGGTTGCAATACTGCAGGTTTCCTATTAAAATTGTAGATTTTCTAATTAAAACTGCATGTATTACCATCCAATGTAGTCATTGTTACCAGTGAATTAACATACTTTAATTTCTGTTTTTATTTGTAATACAGTAAGTATGGGTTTACATAATCCACAGAGACATTCTGAGGGTCCCAATAATATCAGGGTATGAAGGTATCTTCAGCCCATGAAGTTTGTGAAGTGACTTAAATAATCAGTGAAGCTTTCTAATGGACTTTAGGTACAAGGGAGTTTTGTAAGCACAAGTGGCCAATTATACTTTGTACAGTTAGTCTAAACAAATTTTATTCCTGTCTAAAAAGCAGTGAACTAATACACAAAACAAACCTACCCAAATATAAGCTTACCACAGGGGTAAAACATACTTAAGAAAGCCAGTACTTCAATCAAGTGCCACACAGAACTTGAAATCTTGTTATATGTTTGTAATATCTTAAAATTCCATAAGCTCAGGACTGTCAAATGTTACACATCTGGAATGTCTGTGGGCTGTTGACATTTGGGGAGATATCCCTTTGTAAGGAATATTCTGTGAAGGGAGGTTAAGAAGCCTTCTGCAGACCACCCTGACACATTTTCAGACAGTGGGCAATATCCATCCTTCACTTCCAGGTGCACATTGAAATACAAAAGGTTAGAGTGACAGAGACAAACTTTCAGTTTATTCACCAATAAAATAAATAAGAGCAGTATTCAAATTTTGGCTCTAAAAGTTATGAATTCCTCAATAGCAAGACAGTGCCAGCTACGCTTTGGCAATCGTGTTAAAGTTTTGAAATTTTATCATAGAACTTGGTCCACTTCTGTCACTTTTTCATTCTTTGCAGCCAGTAAAGTGTGTGATGTATAGTGGTTGCTCTGCAAAGCTTTACTGAATGTATGCTCTGCAGGAAGGGGACCAACAGCTGCATCTGCATTCTCTCGCTGACACTGTCTCGCACCTGAGGCTTTTGCTGTCTCTACTCACTATGACATTCCCCAACACCATACAGAAGAGTGGCTTCAGATGTATCCCATCTCAATGAAATCACTTATCTTCTTCTCCTATTATTATCTCTCAGATAGACATCTATACAATACTCTGGGGAGCACATTAAGCTTTTCTCTTTCTCCATCCCACTTCCAACTCTATCTAGTTTTTCATCCATACATTCCTTTAAACCTCTTTAATATTTTTCATATCCATCCTCACTTCATCTTCCCTTGCTTATTCCTTTAATTTTTATTCTTTGTTTCTTTGTGGTCTATATTTTATGTGCTTTTGTTGAAGTATCTTTTAGTCTTCACTTCATCATATTCCTCTGAAGAGTCTAATATATTGAAATTGATTTTTTTAAAATTTCTACGATCATTGGAAATACACACACAAGTACACATGTGTATACCTATCTATGATGGATGAAGCTAGTAGTCAACATTAACAAATAGCATGAATATATGGTTAGTGCATTTCAAATATTTCTCTACTCAGTGTCTCCATTGTTCTTATATTCAAAGGCAATGCACAATAGCAAAATTCAGGTTTGATTGGAAATGTGACTTTGTCCAAAAAGTCTGAAAGGGCAATAATGGAATGTTCCACTCATTTTCTTTCCTCTCCCAACTTCTTTTAAAAACGCCCTTAAGATTTTGCGTAGATTGGCAGAGGAGAGCAGCCCTTGGATTTCCTGGTATGCCCATGCCAGTCAAATGATGAATAAGTGTATTTGAGTATGCATGTGAAAGTGTGTTCATGTGTGTGTCTGTGCATTCATGTGTATGATCACTGTGTATTCACATGAATGTACATGTTTACTGGTCTTCTTACGGAGAAAGTTTTTTAAAACACCTAAAACACAAACAAAAGATGAGAAGGAATTGGTCTATTGTGTCTAACCGATTTAGAGTCATGGAAGAATGAGTACAATTAAATAGTCAATGAGTGGCACTAATCTGGTCTCAACAGAGAAACACTGTCACAGGAGTCGTTTTTTATTTCAAAAGACAAAACAGATGATTCATTCTCCCTGGAACACTGTGTTTCATGCGGAAGGGCTCCACAATTCTGCAGTAATTTCACATATGCCATGCCATGTCCCTTTTTTATGGTTTTGTGACTTACCCAAAACACTTCCTTTAATTAGTAGGTCTAAGAACTACATTGACAGTACAAGAGTGTGAATAATATGATTAGTTTTTTTTTTTTTTTTTAGTGAAATATCCCCACCAAGCTGTTACAGGGAAAGATCCAAATATCTATCCATGTTCTCATAATTTCATGCTACACAGGGTGCTGGCACGTGGTCATGTAGATAATTTATTTATATATCTACCTATGCATATTTTTAAACTACCAAGGCAATTTATAACATTTTACATCTTAATAAATGTATGCAATTCTATTGATCTTAATGCATTTCATATTCCAGGTAGAAAAATCAGACATTTAGTCATGAAAAAGCATGTCCCTTTCTAATTATTATCCAGGTAAATTTCAAAGATGAGAAGAAATGTTTACTCGCCATGAAAGAGAGAACCACATACACAAATTTAAAAGGCTATCACAAGTAAGAAGGTGAGATATTTTAGCATGAATTCTGGGTGACTACCCATGGGCCAGCACCTAGAAGGAGACCTTAAGAACTGCTAAGAAACAGATTGAAATAGAATGCAGGCTGTGTACAGGGATAGCCAGAAAAAGAATGATTGCCCACTAGAGATTAAAGACACCCATGAGAAGCTTCTATGAGGCATAGTTTTCCATAATAAAGTGTTTACCTTTCACCAAAAGAGGTTGATAGTCAGTTGATGTCTCAGACTCAGGCTGTTCTCTGGAGAGAACAGGCAGACAAAGGATCCAGGAGTGAAAGGTGAGACTCAAAGGTTGGTGCTGTTATAGCCCTGACGACTTGGGATGTTGCATATTTTCCCTGAATATTTTCTTCCTCTGTGGATTTTTGTCATTTTTCTTGATGGCAATAAAATGCAAGCATTTACCACTGCAAGTATACATTTTTATGTGCATACTTGTGCATGTACTCCTTTCAAAATAGCTACCATCAAAAATTTAAGTAGGATTATGTATTTTAAAAATATTAAAATTTGTGCATTCAAAGGTATCAAGTAAAATAGCTGTTAAACTGTCTCAATAATGGTCGGCTGCTTAGATCCAGTCTGCTAGAGAAAAAGGAAGCAATAAATTTGACCCTAACTTACCACACATTTTAATTGCACAGTACTCCCAAGGGGTGTCAGGGTCAAGAGTATAGCACCATGGCCTCGGCTTGCCATCAGGGTTGCGGCAATAATTATCATCAAAGCCCTTGTCGGGGTATCTGCGAACCACACCAAGAAAAGTGTCAGGTAAATCTGCCTGGAAACACCACACAGACCTCAGCTCATTCAAGAGCTTCCCACTCAGCTTGGATGCTACCAACTCAGGGAAAAGCCACTTTTCCGTCATTTGCTTTATAAGGGCTGCCCATCATTAACTACCAAATTTAACTTATACAATCCATTAAGTATATAGTATCATTCTCTTTGTTACTAATGTTAATCCCCTTTGGACTTGTCCACTAGTTAAAATCTCAAACTGCAACTCTTTTTCAGAGTCCAATTAAAGATAAATTCCAAAATCATGACCTCGTGTAGAATGCTCATTAGGAAAGCAGGTCCTTTCCTAAGGCAGGCTTACACTTCAAAATGAAAGTTCAGCCTCAATAGCTCTGCTGCTAATGATAGCTCAATTTTGGAAGTGGAGCCTCACTAGGTCATGCCCTCACCTCCATCAGAACAGGAGACAAACTCCATCACACCACTTTCTCCACATCCCACCTCCTTTAAATCAGAAGAGTCCTGAATTGGTGATTTGAATTTAATTGCTACCATGTCCCTTCTGTTCCCACTTAAAAGAAATAGCAAGCTTTTTTAAAAAGTAGAAATTTAATTCCATTTATAAGATTAAGAAGAAATAAGTAAAACAAATAGATTTAATAAAACACCTTGCGCCTAGTTCCAAAGGAAAGTAGAGATGGGCTGCCTTTCTAATTATTTCCACTTATATCCTTTGTGATAAAAGTAAAAATTTCCTTTGTTTTCTTTTCTCAACTTAAAACTTTCATGTGAAATGAATGAACAAAGGATGACATCATTTTTGCTCTTTTTAACTATTTGAGCTGAAAACATTTTCTAGGGGAAAATGTTAGTTACTTCAATGTTTTTTAACTTTTAAAAAAGCTTTATTGAGAATTTCATACATGCGTATAAAGTTCTAGACCCATCGGCAATTTCAAAATATATGAGGGCAAAATGACTAAAGAACTGTTTGCTCCATGATTGCATGACCTTTGTTACGGTGTTAGACACGTGACTCATATTTCCTGAGTCTCTGGAAATGCTAGAAGGAGATTTGCTTGTATTTAGTCATATTCCCTCTGCTGAAAGGCTGGGCTTTCAAAATAGTCATTACTTAAATAGCCACGTTGGCTTTTTGCTTTGTTTTATTTGGGGTTGTCTGGTTTTGCTGTGGGAAACAAGAAGAAGTATTGTTCAGTACTTTCGTGCTTCCACTTGCCAACCCACTGCCAGCTTTGCCTTCAAAATCATCTTGACTAGAGAGACTCAGTTAAAAGTGTAGCTAGTCTTCTCATATGCTTCATCACAAATCAGTTCTCTCCAACTAGCTATCTTCAGCAAAAACACAGGCTCCAGCAGCTGTGTCAGAGGAAGACTGAACATTAAGGGAAACCCCACATTATACGTCAATACCCCACAGGAAAGCATAGAAAGATTTCCATAGTGGTACGGAAAGAGGATCAATGGAAGCAAGATCCAGTGGCATTTTTACCTTTCAGGCAAGAATTTGTGCCGATGGGGTGTCTGATGATCCCAGCGCTGACAGGTCTTGCCTGATTCTGTGTGATCCATGGGGCCTCGGTAGCTTTCACCATTGCAGGTCATGCATTCAACTAATAAAATTAAAGTATGGCGTGTTAGTTGTGTCTGGTAACGAAATCAAGACTACCACTGTTCCATTTTAAAGAACAGGAAATCAATTGTATAACAATTTTTCTGACAGCCCTACATACCATCCCGATTTTAAATTGAGGTCTAATGTCCATAAACAGCAGTATAAAATTCTCCCTATGGAATAAAGCAGGTAATTGAATGACTTTTAAAAAAGAAAGTGTCGTATGAGATTTAGTGTAAGATCGAGATGCTGCCTCAGTTCAATAACTGCCCAAGAATTACAAAGAAACTGTATGTTTAAGATGGACCCTTGGAGAGTGTTCCCTTGTTGGCTTACTGTGCTAAGAGCTCAGTGTCTATATCTTCACCAAAACAACATTTCTCTCAACTTGCCCTCTAAACACAAATATTATGATTATGCAACTTAATTTCAGTCAGTGTCATCATTAAGAATCGATATATTAAAGAGACCAATCAAAATATTGGCTTGATGCAATTCAAAGAACATTTTTTAAAGAAATTGCTGCTTTATTCTGTTAGTGAATGTCCATGTTGAGTTGGTGGGACATGCACGTTCTTACCTACCTTGGGACAGAAGATGACCTGCTACTGAACTCGGCATACACACTCAGTTTAAAATGTAAAAGCTGATCAAATTATGCAGGATCTTACTGATGATTTTGTGGGTTAATTAATTGTTCACCTCTGGCTGGTCTCAAGTCACACTGAAAACTGAGTCACATCAACTAGCTGCAAATGAGATTTCTCAAACAGAAGGTTGATTTGTAGCACAGCAAGCATCCTGTAGAATAAATCATTGCTTGGCTCTCCTAAGAATCCGGCAAACTTCTCCAAACACATCATTTGTATCTTGTGATTACTGATCATCTAACTTTAGCTGAAGTGAGGAAAGATATCCATGTTAAAATTTATGCACTGGAATCTTGCCTAACAAATATTGAGGGTGTTTTGGTATGTGATATTAGAATCATCTTTTCTTCTGAATCTTTTATTTTTATAAATTAGCAGGTCATTAACTATTAACTGTCTGGAACATACGATGCATCTACTGGCTTGGTCCATCTACTTCTTTCAAGTTTGTTAGTACATGAATTAAGACAAAGGATCAGTTCAGCTTCTTTCTTTTGAAGCTGAGATTCTTCCAGAATACAATCAATAAGAACCTGAACTATAAATGAGAGGGTCCAACAGCACATTGACAAAGATGCTCAGGTTAGCCAAGGTCATTTCCACATTGAAATGCTCAACATAGGCTATGACTCACTACATTTTGGCTTTCCATTTCAATGGCACAAATGTATTTAGTCCCCCCTTTATAGAATGCAAGATTTGATATCTTCAATGAAAATTATGTGACTGTTGTATTTACTGTTGTTGGTTGCTCATTTGTATTGAATGCAAAAGTAGACTACATTACTATAGTCACACATAAAACATATCCTCAGAATAGGTAATTTCTAGTCTAATATGATACTTCTGAATCAGAATATATCTAGTATAGTTCCCATAACCAATACAGTTTGTAAAACATATCTCACAATGAAAGTGAATACGCTTTTCTAGGAAGCAGTACCATGGACAGTATTTTAAAACACTTTTAGACTTAAATTTTTAAGAGCATTGGGGAAAATGCTACACAACTGAAATCAATGACTCCGTAACATAACTGCTTTCCAGAATGAATGTCATGGAGCAATCATTCTCCAAAAATTAATGTTCATAAAAATCACTCTCAGATCTTCTTAATGATCAAATCCTTATTCAGTTGGTCTGGGGTAATAAGATCTCCCAGGAGATACAGATGCTGCTAGTTCCTGGACCTCACTGTGAGTAACAGAATAAATACTGTGATCTGTTCTAAACTTTTAAGTATTTTGAGGTAAAAGTTGTTTAGATGAGGTTCTTCTTGGACATTTAAGTCTAAATTAAAATACATAAATTATACAGGAAATTTATACAACAAATGTGGTACCCTGATGTGATTTAAAAAAGAAAAAACAAAGAAGTATAAGTTATCAAAACAAATAATATGTCTTAGAAGGCAAAAAAAAGTTGTTGTTGGAATAAAAAATAAACAGGTTCTTTCACAGACCTGAGAGGCTAATATAG